TAGTTTTGCTTCTCTGCTCCACCTGTGCGCTTCCACAGTCCTCTCCATTCTCTGTCTCGCGTTGATTACTCTGATCCAAACCGTTTGGCGGAGGCGCGGAGAAATAATCGCTTTAGTACATTCGGCAGGCAATTATACAATAATAATATTTAAATAGCGGGCCAAATCGGCAGCCAGGCCACCGGGAATAGTCCCGGTTCTCCCGATGGCCAGTCCGCGCCTGATTTCCACAGACACGCAGAACGAGCCGGATTCATATATTGTCTTTTTGCGGCTTAATATTCACAGACACTAGTCCATATCGCGTTTTGATTCAAGTGTACTGACCTACTTTTGATTTATTCGTCCAAAATGTGGCATATTCCGTCCGCGTTACGCTATAGGAATTCTGTTTTTATGACTGGATTCTACAAACCAGTCTGTGTTTTCCGCATGGCGTAAATTAAAGGGCCGTATGTCTCAGAGTAGTCAGTGCAAGTTGGGAAAGAAATCAATCAAATCTGTATGTGGATGTGTGTAAATATTCAAATGTAATCCCCTTTGTAATCGTTAACATTTTCATAAGTAACTGTAATTTAACTACACATTTTTTCTTAGTAACTGTAACTGATTACAGTTACATTTATTTTGTAATTAAATTACGTAATTCCGTTACATGTAACTAGTTACTCCCCAACACTGCTTAACTTTCATTGTATTAGAAACAAAATATCAAACCAAGTGACATCTGCAAATGATGCTTTATGTAAAAAAAAAAAGAGAGAGAGAGAGAGAGAGAGTTTTAAATGCTGTTTGCATTAGTACATAGGTAATAGCCTACACCAGAAACCAAACGGCTCCAACTCCACCTCCTAATATGCAACTCCGTTATATATTTCATAGCTCTGACTCCCAGGAAATTGACTGTTTATTGACCAACTTTGCATAAAAATTGATTGGATATTTGGTGAAGTAAATAAAGATGAAAGATTAAATTTTATGAATGTGACATTAGCAAAGAAAAAAAAGGATATATCATGTGGATGCGCATGATTCAATGTAAATCATCTAATAAAACGCTTAAGGACATAAAGGAATATTATATACAACACATGCATCGTGTCATTAAATAAAATAAAATAAAGGTTTATATAATACAACTATCAAAATAATTAAAATTAATAATAATAAATTAAAATCACCTGTTGATCATCGACCGGAATCCATCCAAGCTTGAAAGTCAAAAGGATTCAAAATACTGAAACAACTCAAACATTACACACTGCGTATGAAGAGAGACAAGGGAAGTCCGGATCAACTACAAATGAAAATGTGGGCTACAAAGAAAACAGGGGCAAGTTCAAGTTCCGGTTTGAACGACATGTTTCCTGGAAACGGTGTACACCGGGGTTTGAGATGCGTTTTCTCTTGTTTGGTGGGTGTGTCAAACATGTCAGCCCAATCAGCAGCAACATGTATGTAAACCACCCGGTATTAAAGAGACAGCTCGCACAATGTAATAAACATCCAAATAAATTCAAAAGAGCAAGTATATTGTTTGCACATGTTTATTTACATTAAAGGCAAAATAACTGAAATAATAAGGGCACAATCTGGAACTTCTTTAAGTCTGTCTAAATATCATTTAGTAATTGCAATGTCTTTGCACCGTTTTTGTCGGGGCTGAACGCAGCCCTGGTTTCTTGTTCAGATAAATCACATGATTTCCGGTCAACCGGAAATCAAGATTGCACTTTGCCTTATTTGTCCATATGAAAAACAGCTACATACAAATAATAATAAAAGATCTCCAAAAAACAGAACAATAGAAAAATTATATTGCCAGAGGTTAACCCCCCCCCCCCCCCCCCAAACGAAA